TTTTTTTCTTGGTAGAACTTGTATAGCTAGTCATGTGTTTTTTAAGTTGACTCTTAATTGCTTAAAATTAGCTTTTCATGTTCTATGAAGTATGGCTGAATAGCTTTAACCTCTTGAATCACGCACATCTTTAAGATCTGATGAAAATACTTATAGTTGGGCATGCACAATTTTGCATGTGGTTTCAGGAGTTTCACAGACCCCCTTCTACTCCCCTGTACTAAGGTATTACAGAGATAGGTAAGACAATTTATAGGGATCACAAAGAATGCTTTCATTTTTCCCAGTGATAGTGTGAAGTATCAGTTTATGTTGTTTTGGATGTCTCTGCTCTTCCTTTCTTTGTTTTGTTTTGTTTTTTAAAAATGTTCCTTGCTGTCACATCTCTGCCCTCAGGATTCTTAATTGAGTGGTAGAGAAATACATGGAAAGGAATATTGTTTGAAAAGGGTACAGATAGTGTGTTGTGGGAATGTGGAAAGATTATTATATGACTGGAGGGCTGAAGACTTCACAAAAGAATTTTTTGAAGGGTGAAAAGAATTTTGATAGGAAAAATAGAAAAGCAGGGAATGCCATTCTGAAGGAACAGCATGTACAAAGGTACAAAATATTAGAAATTGACAATGCGGCATGCAGAAGGTTTAGTGTAAACTAAAATGTTGTGTGTTCAGAATTATATAGTGGGAAATAAAGCTAGGTAGGTTAATATGGGGAAATAGTGTGGCAAGATGGGAGGTGTGAAAGGGAGTGGTATTCATAGCTTTTTTCCTTTAGCCCCTTTAGCCCTTACTGATTTCAGTTTTAGAAGAGGAAAGGTTGTGAGAGATATAAGTACTGGAAAAATAAATAGAACAGTTAAACAGGACAAGAGCAAAAATTTTCAATAGCAGTGACTTTCACACGGGGGCAAAGCGTAATAATGGCACTATCAGGGTGAATATAGAAAATCATGGCGCTGAATTTTCTGATTAAAGGTCTCTGGTAAAATAACAACTAGTAGAAAGCTATATTTCACCAGTAGTAGGCTTATGTTTTTATCTTGGTATCACAATTTAAGTGTTGTTTTAAAAGAAGTCATAGGTATATTACTAATTTTGAGTTTTTGTATTACTCTCTTTCCATCCTTGGAAGTCTCT